ACTGTCTCAAAAAAAGAAAAGAAAATGCATTTCACAATTTCAGGGGAAAGTTCACTTAATATAGAACCTCATAAATAATTGTAATAAGCTTCATATAGTGATGTACATCTGTGACTGGCTATAATACCAGTACCAGGAAGGCTGAAGCAAAATTTCCAGTTCAAAGTCAGTTTGGAATACACAGCGAGAGGCCATGTGTCAAAGAAAACGAAAAAGGCAGAGGGAAGGAGGAGAAACAATACTGTATACATAGGTCTGCCTACCTGAAACAGTTGTTGTGGAATACCATGGATGAATAAAAATTCCTAACATCCTTTTCACAGCTTCTTACACAACTACTAGCAGGAACGTAAATTTACATCAATGCTACTGCCAAAGTTCTACCTGCGCTGTTAAGAACATGGTTTTCATTGCAGATTGAGAGCATTCATTCACCAGCAGTCTCCTGGGGAAGAGAGTGCCCCTGAGAAAACTTCAGCCAACCAAACAAGAAAGGCTTAGAGGGAGGGCTGAAGAACGACAATCACACATGATCTATTGTGGAAAGTAATAAGGCTATTAAGGAAGCTTCTGTGTGGGGGACAGAAAAGGGAGAGGGAGGAAGTTTAAATCCCAGCAATCTGTCTGAAAGTTGCTCCACTCCTTTACCTCAAGGCAAGATAATATAAGAAGACCAAGACCCCCTTTGTAAACCACACTGCCCTGCCTCGATTTCACTACTTAGCCCAAGGTCTCTGCTCCAGCACCACAGCCGGTACAGCTTCTTAGTTGTTGGAAGATGGCACAGATGGAGTTAGGAATGGACTGGGGACAGAAGGTGGTGGCAGTAGCAAACTGAGATAACCCAAAGCAAAGGTGAAACTCAAGGGCATAAGGAAAGGAGGTCTTTGATGTCATACTCTAGATCCCTCACTCTATCAAAAAGACAAAAACAAATGACACTAAATAAATGAACAAATAAACAGATACCTGGAGTACACTGATTAAACCATCAATGTTCTGGGATTCCAAAATATACTTAATAAAAAAAATGAAAACAAAATTTGTTTTCCCCCTTTGTTTTGTTTTAGACAAAGTGTCTGTCTCCCTATTGCCCAGACTGGCCTGGAGTTTATAGCAATCCCCCAGCTTCATCCAGCGACTACAGCTGCCAGTCACCAGGCCCAGCCCGAAATTGTCATTCCTAATACTACTTTATAGTAGTATAGTATAGTAGTATCTTCTACCCTAAACTGTGAAGAAAACAAAACACAAAACATAGTGGGTTTTTTTTTTTTTCAGAAATTCTTAAGGCTTATAGGTGATCCAATAAAAATGATTTATTTGATTATGACATAACCACACTCAGACTAAGTGTGCTTCCCAAACAAAAAACAGCAAACCTTTCTATTTTTAAATGTAGGGGTTAGTTTGGTTTTGTTTGTTGGCTTGGGTTTCTTGAGATGCTCTCTTGAAGCCCAGGCTTGGATTACAAGCACACAGCACCAAGGCTAGCTTCCAATGTGTTATTTTTAATCACTCAAACGAGATGTGACCACCACAACTCACTGAAATAATTTTTTATTCTGATTATCTGAGCTCCATTCTTGGTTCTGCTGCTTAGAAATGAGCAAACTACTACTCTCTATGACTTGGTTTTTCCTCACCCTCACACTGGATTACATAAATGCTATAGGCAATATGGTCTCACACACATAAATTTAATTATTACATTCTCCTAACAGAGGAAGAAGAAAAGAGATGGGCGAGGAAGGGGGGGAAGGACAAAATGGCTCACATAAGGGGTCTGGATTTGGATCCCCATCACCCACATAAAAAGCTACATGTGGCCACCGAAGTCTGTTAACCCCCACCCAGTCAAACACGCTGACCACAGGAGCTTGCTGGGTGGCAGTGAATCTAAAACCAAGGAGCAAGCTCCAGGTCCTGTGGGAACCTCGGAATTCAGAAGAATTCTGATTCAAACTGTGCACCTACATACACACATATACGAATATACCACAGGTATATTCACCTCACCGGAAAAGAAAATACTGAAAAAATAAAACAGATTCAAAGACATAATGAGGAAGAGTACTTAATGTGTAAGCAAAACAAAACAAGACACAAGGAAATTGTTCCCTATACAGATATAAAGTCAACTGCCTTCTATGGAGTTATCTTATGCGTAGAAATAAGCATTACAAAAGACCAAGGTGCCATGTAAGCTACTTAAGCAAAGCACTGTATTGTAGAAATGCCTACAACATTTAAACTGAAGTCCATGAAACCGATCTGTACTGCAAGGCGGAGGCGTGGGGTGGGTGGGGTATAACACTGCTTACTTTACATTTTAAAGCCCAGAGTTTGACTGAGAGAACACCCAGCATCTGAGATGTAAAAGACAGTAACTCTAAAACCACACCATAAATTTCAGTAATAAGTTAGTCTTCTGATCCCCCTAGGGATCACATTATCAGTGTAAGTCACTCACCACTATTTCCCTAACCTACTACTTTACATACAGCTGACAGACAGATTAACAACAGTGTGGATGTTTTAGCATTTCATTTTAGGAGCCACAACTACTTAAGGACATGAGTCTAAAATTGCTTTATGGCTGTCAACTCCAGAGCAAGGGGAAATCTGGGTGTCAGAAATCTAAGAAATTGTTCAAAGCTCTGTCTGAACTTTTCCTCAACACTCTTGTCCCCTGTCAAACCTTTGAGATTCTGATGGAAACACAGTAAGTCTCTAGTCAAAGGCCTAGTTCAATCTACTTCACTGAGCAGCAGGCACCCAAGCCTTCCTTGGCACCAGCTTTGACTGGTGAACATGGGTCAGGGACTCCAGCAACTCCTATTGCCTTAGACATGGACGTTGAGTAGTCACTGTCTTTATCTACCTGGGCTCTTTAGGAGGCACTATCTTACAGGAGCACAACAGAGTGACAAAATGAAACTCAAGGTAGCCTGCAGGACAAAGTGGCAAGTACTAAAATAAAACACTGCTGGAGATTTGTAACAAATAAAGACAGAAAGGGCTCTGACTGAGCGATTCTGACTGACAGGGCCATTCCAAGGTCAACCCTTTTTGACTTAAGAAAACCCTACAACTGAGTGTGTCTGGGTATTTTTAGATACTACAGAAAAGTAAGATATGGTCTCTGCCCTTAAGGAGCTTTTAAGAGTAAAAAGGCAGCAAATTTTTAATTATCTGGACTTCCAATAAAATGTTTAAGAAACCTTCCCAGATGTACGTTATGTCTTAATGAATTTAAAAGGCCAAATTTGTAAATTGTAAGAGTAGGGCTCAGTGTCATGAAGAACGGTGTAAACGCAAATAGATGCAAAGTCTGGTGTGATCCAAACCTGTAACTCCATGAGTTCAAGGCCAGCCTGGGCTCCATAAACTAAAATGAAGACAGGCCGAAGATTAATCTAGCGAGCCTTATTTAATAAATAAATAAATAAATAAATAAATAAATAAATAAATAAATAAATAAATAAATCTATCGCTCTATCGATAAAATGAAAGGAAGTATCCCGGTAAAATAAAAGAAAACTGAGTAAGGTGAAATTTTTAAATTACAATGTGTTGTTGTACTAGTCATGGAGAGAAGCGTGGTGAAGGTGTGTGTTTTATTACATAAATAAATAATAAATACACAGGGCCAAACCAGGCTCCTTAGGTCAACATTTATTTCAACCACTTTCTAGCCATGTCATGGAAGAAAGCTACTTAACCATCCTTTGCCTTCCTCTTTGCACCTGTGAAGCAGGGTAGAAAAAAGTAACAATCCCTGTCGAATCAGTAGCAAAAATCATCACTGCACAGGTGTAACTGCAACGCCCAGCTGATCAAAAACTTTTAAGATCAGAGTCAAATTCCATCTTTTAGGCACCGGTGCCCTCCTTCTTCGTTTTGATCCTCAAACACCTTCCTTCTTCCAGGAACCAGTGTGATCTAGTGTCCTTTCTCCAAAGCAATAATCACTTCCCTAACTGCACCTACAAAGCCTTTCTTTGCCATCTCTGTCAAAGCCCACTTCTCTAGGAGAGGAACCCTCCTTCAATCCTAAAGTGCTCTGCCTGTTCTTTACAATTCACCAACGCAGCAATGGTTTTCTTAATGTCCCTTTCTCACTAAAGGGCAGTTTCAGAGGGCTGGGACAAAATAACTATTCCTACCCTTCAACGAAGAAGGTGCCAGGCTGGGAAAGGCGACGCAGAATTAAACTGGATGTTTACAACCCGGGTGGCTCCAATTCCAAAAACTGCTTAATTTCCAATCATTCTTAATTGCTTTCATATCCCCACAATTGACACGAAAAGTCCTTCAAAAGAAAGAAAGAAAGAAAGAAAGAAAGAAAGAAAGAAAGAAAGAAAGAAAGAGAGAAAGAAAGAAACCAGACCAACGCCAACCCTTCGAAAAAAGTTCCACGGGGCAGCCCCGCACAGGTAGCCGGGCGGGCAGTCAGTCACCCTCTGCTAGGCAAGTGGAGCGTGCAGCCCGGGCTGCGGCGCTACGATCGGCGCGGTAGTTTGAAACGAGGGCAGCGGGCCGGCTCGGGCCGCCGCGCGGGGCTGGGCTCCGTGCTCCCGCCAACTTCCCGCAGGCCGCCGCCTCCCGCGTCCGCCCGCCGCAGCGACACCCTTCGCGGGGCGGCGGCGCGCCGTGCTCGGCCCCGCGGGCTCCCCCAGAGCGGCGCGGCTCGGGCCTGGCCGCCGCCCGCTCCCCGGCCCCGAGGCCTCGTTCGCTCGATCTCTCCCCGCGGGCCGCCCCGCTCGGCCCCGCTGGGCTCCGGGGCGCAGGCCGCCGCCCCGAGGGGAGCGGGGAGCCGGGGGACCCGCCGAGCTCCGCGTGGCGCCGGGGGCGGAGCCGGCCCCCGGGGCCCCGAGAGGACCGGGGCTGGTGGCGGTGTCCGCCTTCCCCGCCGCGCCCCCGGCGCCCCACTCCCGACCCTCCCCGGAGCCCGACCCCGGCCCTCGGCCGAGCGGCCGGCGCGACGCGGCACTTACCAACCCGCCTGGGACAACGCGGCGCCGGGCACCTCGGCCATGGTTAGTTAGCTAAGCTGCTCAGGCCCGGGGATGACGGGGGTCTGAACTGAGGGTGGGGGGCGGGACGGGCCTCCTAGTGGAGAGCCGGGGAAAGGAAGAAGAAGAAGAGAGGAAAAAGAAGAAAGAAAAGAAAAAGAAAAAGAGGGAGAAAGAAAAAAAAAAAAAACTCCTCTGTTCGACTGCGCTACTGGGCATGCTCAGTGCGCCGGGCGCTTCCGCGTGCGGGTTCCGCTCGCCGCGTTTTGTGAGCGGCCGCAGGGGCCGGCCCGGGCTTGGGAGCGAGCGGCGAGCGGCCAAACGCGGCCTGGGCCTGAGCCCGGGCCCGGGGATCGGACGCGCCGCCGGCGGCGGGGCTCAGCGCTGAGCCGAGCCGTGCGCCCCTGCTGCCTGCCGCGCTGCCGGGGCACTTTGTGGAGTTGCACGCTTGGGAGCCGCGCTCGCCGGGGCCGCCTTCACGGGGCGGGACACGGAGCCCGCGGCCCGGGCGGCGCTTCGGGGATGATGCTACCACGGCCGCGTTCGGGGCGGTGCAGCCCAGCCCATTCTGCACCACAGCTGACGGCTCGGGTCCGGGCCGGCTCCATCCACCTTGCTTTGCGGTCCGCCGAGACTCCGAACTGAGTGCGAGTCCCGGCAGGCGGATGGGTGAGCGAGCAGGGCACCCTGACCCCGCTAACTTAGGGGAGCTGGTTGAGGAGCCGGGGCGGTGGTGACAGCACTGCGTGCCTGTCTGGTCACCCTCCTGCTGGGCGTGGCCCTAGCCCCAGGGCGGCCCTGGCACCAGCACCGAGCCAGGCTGGGACCGCCCTGCCCCGTTGCCCTTTACGGCACTCGGCAGGGACCGCGGAGTACGGAGGCTCCCGGACTGGGCATGCGCGGTGACGCGGCCGAGCTGCGCCGAGACGCTGCAAACCTGATTGGGCGGTCGGGAGTGACGCAGGCCAATCAGAGCAGAGGAGTCGGGAGGCTGCGCGGGCGGAAAGGAGTTGGAAAAGTTTGCTCCTTCGCCGTGATGCAGAAGGGGAATTTATTTTTTTTAGAAGAGGCGCTTCCCAGTGGTTACGAGGGGTTGAGGACGGTTTGGGAACTCAAACTCCGTCAACAACCCGTCGAGGGGGTCGCTTCGGCTACAGTCACCCCGGAGCCAGACTTGGGACAGAGACTGCAGAGTTAGCGGCTGCTCCCGAGGCCTGGGAAAGCGACTTGATAGTTGGAGAAAGGAGGGTGCTAAGTACCCAGAGGAAGGAGAGCTAAAATCTCCCAAAACGACGTTGTCTCAATTTAACTGCCCTTCCCTGGACCTACAGTCCCAAGGTAGTGCTGTGGTGTGTCTTTCTAAAAACTCACTGCTCTTAGGTAGGTTTTACGATGTGTGCAAGCATGTTCAGAATCAGGAGTAACTTTCCCTTATTCCCCAGTACTTGCAGTGGAATAAAATGTCTTGAGTTATGCGTGAGTAGTATGTTTTATATTGCTGCAGCTGAACTGTGCATATTCAGGAAAAAAATATTTTAAAGATAAATTGATGACTCTAATTGCTAATTTTATTAGTTATTAAATAAAATACCAAACTTTTTTTAGTGTAAGTTGTTAACTGTGGAAATTATAGTGTCCCAATCACCAGACTCATTGAGTAAATGTAAGGATGGAAAAATACAGCCTAACTCTCCAATAACCACAGGAAGCTAAAAGTTTAGAAATACTATCGAAAAAGCCCTAAAAACCTCAAATTCCAGACCCTGTCCTCTGCCAGTAAATAGGCAAGGTCACACTTCTTGCTGTTTACAGCAGACAGGCCCTTGAGTATGTAATCTTGGCCTAGTAAGACAACAGAAAATGAGCTAACTAACCACTTGTCCGACTTCATAAATTGCTTGTGAAACCCCTGCCCCAGTGACCTATGTGTGGGCTTTGTTGTAAACCCTATAAAAACTGTCTCTATTCTGCCCTCGAGGTTCTCAGTCCTATGACTGTGGACCCCCGGTACAATTGCAATAAAAATTCCTCATGCTATTTGCATCGAGACCGCTTCTCATGAGTGATTTCGGGTGTCACCTTTCCTGCATGGGAGCGTGAAGGTCCACACTCTGCAGGTCTTTCATAAATAAACCTTTACACTTGTTCTCACATTCAGTGTAATACAGTAAGAGCTCACATTGCAGATGCTTATGAATTGTTAAATTATTCCACAAAACACTAATTCCACCACAAGAATGTGATTCCTACAATAAATACATGAAAAATGATGACATTAACTGAATTAAATCAATTAATTGACATTCAATTTTTGAGTATGCATGCATTTTGAGTTGTAAGACCCAAATTCCGGGGTCCTGATGGGCCGATGGGAAAGCCCCGAGACACAAACACCAAAACCAGGAGATGCAACAAGCAAAAGGTATTTATTGAATGAGTGCACTCGGGTGTCAGCAATCTCAGGGAAAGCTGCCCACCCCTCAAAGGGCTCAGGCTCCTTTTTTATAGAGACAAACCGCAAACCAGCATATACATGCATTGGGCACAAGGTGTTTAATTACAAAGTATGATCTCATGTTTGAGAGATCACCCAGGTATGACCTCTTCTTATTCAAAGGATAAACCATAGAATGACTTGGAAAGTCCCCAGACTATCCGTTGGCCAGGAGTGACCCAGACAGGGCTGTTCATCTGGGACCATTTGTTCCAGGTTTGGGGGCCTATTTCCTTGTGGTTGGCCAAGACCTGTGAGAAACTTCTTTCATACTCTGGCTTTCTCTTGGCTGTACATTTAGAGCCTTCAGTTATTCCACAAAGGTTTGATGACTCAGTAACTAAACTAGCCCTATTTACCAAATCAGCCTATCATATAACCACTAGCCCATAGTAACCTTTCTTGGTCTCATAATTCCTGATCTTTCCACCCATGTCCACGTCCATTCTTTGTGATTTTCTATGTTCTGCTTGCAAGAACTATATTCTTCTGCCCCTTTCCTACATCCTTGCTCTGCAAACTAAAATCTTTTAGAGTACCACTAAAAATAAAGACTTGATACAATCGCTCAGTGTTGTTTTAACTTCAGCACAATGGCTGTGCCTTAGTCTACTATCTCCGGTATCAACTGCAACTCTGCAGTTACTGTCCCACTCAGACCACAGCCCGGTGAGAATTCTGCTCCCCACAGGGTTACTGTTCTAATTATGAATAAGAGTCAAGATTCAAAGGCTGGAGTGAAACCCCACGAGCTCTGAGAAGCAGCTAGCTAACCCTCTCTCCTTGCTGGCATCCAGAGAAGGCCCATGCTTCCCTTTGCCAGACCACAAAAAGCTGTGCCACTCCGAACTCCTGCGTCTCTCTGTCTCCCCCGAATGCCCTCTGGTCTCAGTGATTACTTTCTGTCAATTAGTTGCTAACACAGCCTTCTGACCCAAGGTTCGTTTTTTTTGTTTGTTTTTGTTTTTTGTTGTTATTGTTGTTTTATTTATTTTATATAACCAAGTCCATTTAAATGAAAACAAACATTTATAGACAATATTTGGGAATTTGGACGTCGTTCTTTCCAAATTACTTCATGCTGGTAAGGGGCGCTGTCATGGGGGATTCTAAGAAGATGCAGAAATCCCAAGATTGGTTTTATTTAATTAATGCAAATGCAAACTTGGGCTTCACAGTGTGATCAAATATCACCCAATAACCCAGCGCTCTAGAAGTAGAGGCAGGAGATGGATGGTTCAAGGTCTTGTCTACATACCGAATTTAAGGTGGCCTGAGTGACAAGAAACCCTGTCTCAAAAAAATAAGTCAGGTTGAAGAGACAGGCCAGATTATAAATACAGAATCAGTTTTCTTAGCCATGCAGGAGTGGCACACGCCTTTATTCCTAGCACTAGAGAGGCAGAGGCTGGCAGAGCTCTGATTTTTTGAGGCCAGCCTGATCTACAAAGCAAGTTATAGGACAGCCAGAGCTGTTACAAAGACAAAAACCTGTCTTAAAAAAAACTATGAAACTCTGCTTCCCTAACCACAATTGATTAATGTAAAATTCGTCAAATGATATGAAAAGCCACTGTACAAAAGTTTGTACAAATTATATAACAGAAGGGGAAATGTGTGCCTTTGTCCTTAACAAAATTAAATAAATAAATAGAAATAAAAGAGTTCCTTGAAGAAGTGCTGGTATCATAGTGGCTCAGTCTGATGTGTTCTCACTTCAACTAAACATAAACCATAAACGTCATTTAGGAAATATCCTTGCCAATGTTGTTTTAAGGTTAACTTAATCAAGCTTCTGGGCTATGAGCCTCACTAATGTGCTACCTGGGTCAGCAGCCCCTGAACACATATTTGTCTGGGGGACACTTTGGGATACTATAGCCTGTGAGGGTGGATATAGGATCAATTGGACCTGATGGTAGAGGCCAGGGATGCAATCAAAAAACCTGAAATGCACAGGACACTTGTGGAACCCCACAAAAATTTGATAATGCAAAATATCAATAATGCAATGGGTAAAATCCAAGTCTAGATTAAAGCTCACATTAAAATACATCTGAAATAATGGAGCAAGTTAGAAATGAAGACACATATGGGTCGAGAGCTTGTCATGTCACACAAAAATAGAAACTGGATTCTTAAACTAATTATAAAAGAGAAGTCTTCTAGATTAAAAATATGGAAGAGATGCTGGGCATTTTGGCACATACCTTTAATTCCAACACTTGAAAGGCAGAGCAAGAGGATCTCTGTGAATTCCAGGCCAACCTGCTCTACATAGTTTCAGGCCGGCTAGAGCTACATAGTAAGACCTGTTTTAAAACCACCAATATGGCTGGGCATTGGTAGCACATGCCTTTTATCCCAGCACTCATGAAGCAGAGGCAGGCAGATCTCTGTGAGTTCAAGGCCAGCCTGGTCTAACACAGCTAGCTCCAAAGCAACACAGAGAAACCCCGTCTCAAAAAACAAAAACAAAACAAACAAAAAAAAAACCCACCAATATGAATATATATACACATATGCAGGGGATAAAACAAAATTCCTAAATCTAAAGAACTATTCATAGCAATTACAGAAATTAGATTATAAGCCAGATATTGAATACCTAAAAACAGTGTGTTAATGGAGCTATCATTAGATATGATATCTTGGGAATCCTATGCCACTGTACTTATCTATGAAGAGTACTGTAATGTATTTGTGTATTTGCACATACTTATATGTACAATATATACTGACATATATATGTATATGTGTATATATGTATGCATGTGATAGAGAAGAAAACATGGCTCGATGTTAAAAATGGATCCATCAATTAGAAGATCCTGGTGCTTGTTTCT